CATGTCGACGATCATTATCTGACGCGCGACGGGGCCACCGCTGCTCTCACTGGAAGTCTTGCAAAACACCTTTATTTGCAAATCTAGATTTTTTTTTTTTCGTTTGGTGCGCTAAAAAAGTGATTAAAAATACGCTGTCCAGATGCATCCAGTCCGCGTACGCCTCCAAAAAGCGCGCGAACGCGATCCAGTGTGCATCGGATCGCCAGATCGCATTATCTTGGTATTTGTATGGCGAATGGCTCACGGCGCTCGAAAAAGCCCAAAGAATTTCAAAGCGTTCATTTCCACTTTCGCCATGCATCAGGTAACGTACCGCATCCCCTTGTGTCGCCGTCGCGTGGCCCACGAGAGACGCCGCGCGCTGCACCGTGTCCACCTCACACGGCACCGGAAGGACTCGACCAAGTCTCGCAAGAGCTTGCGCGCCGCAGCAACGTTGACGCCAAGAGCGAGCTTGGGAGCCAGGGCTGTCCGCCGCGCGTCGCCGCGAAGCACTGTACCTTGGGCAGTCGACGCTCATCGTATTGCTAGGTTGGATGCACGGCGTCTCCGTCAATGGCGCGTTCTGCTTCTGGAGAGATGGCGAGATAAGCTGCGAGCCATAGTTTACGACTACGGACCCGGCAATCTTGCCGGCGCCGTTCTGCAATGCGGCGGGCAATAAGGGACGTGCGAGGAGATGGGAGGATCATAAGGATGGCTTGGCAACCTTAGCGATGGACCCCGGTGCACGTCGTGTTGACACCGACCGCACTAAACGCTGTTATCAGCACCATACATGAACCTCAACTACCTGCGAGTACTCACGATAGTCAAGAGTAAGAACGTACTTGGCTTGTCGATGTACTGTCGTCAACGCACCATCGAGACACGTTGCGTAGAGCGTGCGGCTAGCTCGTGCGGCTTGCTTCATGTCGTGGGACAACGGAGAGTTGCGTGTTTACTGATTATCTAACGCGGAGAACGAGCTAGAAAAACGCAATTCCGACTTGGGTGGATTTTATGACGTAAGAAAACGCTGCGCTCTCCATCCTCGCGCTCGCGTTGACGTTGCTCTTCGCGCATCTCGCGTTCGCGCTCGCGCACGTAGAGTTCTCGCTGGCAGTCTGCATCGCGCTCGTCCCGCTTCTCATGGCGCTGAGCGTTCATGTCCTCGACGCGCAGCATCGAGGCGTCGTCCAGCAACCGATCATGCTACTTCCGCGTCTTCGATGAAGCAATCGATGCTCTGGCGCTTGCGCGCCGTGGACGACACCAAGCTGCCGGCAGGCGTCATAGCCTGTTCACCAGGAGCAGCAAGTGCTGCGCTAAGCGCCAAGAGCTCTTGAGGTATGGCGCCGGCTAGATTGGCGCGCGCCTGTAGCGCGAGCTAGGCTGCTGCATTAGTACCGGTAAGCGCGTGTCATTACGCAGCCAACACATCCCCTCTTGTCAGCCAGCTTGGCAGCCCTCTTCGCGGTCCTCTTCGCATCGCATCCGCCGCGCTGTCGATCTGGGTTGGTCGTCGCCACATACGCATCCAGACACGCACCCAGTTTGCACCTCTGCGAAGACGATTTTATGGTCTCCGCACATCTGAGCAAATAAAATTTCGCACGCTTTTTGCTATCCAGTTTCCATCTGGATATTATCTGGATTTCCGAATAAAGGTGTTTTGCAAGACTCCCACTGGCGTCTTGGGATTGCCCCACATGACGACACTCACCCTCTCGATGTGTCTGCTGGATGTGATGCTCGTACTCGCGGAGCTCGTTGCTGCGGGCCGCCACCTCCGCCTCCT